GTGTGCGTGTCTGTGTGTGTCTGTCTGTCTGTGTGCGTGCGCGCATGCGTGCACTTAAACTCAGGATCTTGAACTCTTGCTATACTGCTTTGCTCAAGTCTGATACCCTACCACTTGAACCACATCTCCACTTCTGGCTTTTTGGTGGTAAATTTGAGATAAGAGTCTCATAGATGGGGCTGGGAAGGTGGCTCAGTGGCAGAGCATGCCTTGTATGCCTGAGGCCCTGGGTTCGATTCCTCAGCACCACATAAGAAAAAAGCTGGAAGTGGCGTTGTGGTTCAAGTGGTAGAGCGCTAGCCTTGAGCTGAAGAGCTGAGGGACAGCGCCCAGGCCCAGAGTTCAGGCCCCACGACTGGACCCCCTCCTTCCCCCCAAAAAAAAAGAATTAAAAAAAAAGAATCTCATAGACTTTTCTATCTGGAGTGACTCAAGCCATACTCCTCAGATCTCAGACCTCAGCCTTCTGAGTACCTAGGATTACAAGGAAGCATGAACCACAAGCATATGGCTTTTTTTTGGGGGGGGAGGGGGTCCGGTCGTGGGGCCTGAACTCTGGGCCTGGGCGCTGTTCCTCAGCTCTTCAGCTCAAGGCTAGCACTCTACCACTTGAGCCACAGCACCACTTCCAGTTTTCTAGTGGTTCATTGGAGATAAGAGTCTCATGGACTTTCCTGCCCAGGCTGGCTTTGAACCACTATCCTCAGATCTCAGCTTCCTGGGTAGCTAGGATTATAGGCATGAGCCACTGACACCTGGCTTTAGACAGGGTCTTTCTGTAGAATTCAAATTAGCATCACAGTTTCAGCTCTTAGCCTGGTAGTGGTAGCATGTGTTCATACACAACTACACAATCAGACTCTTTCCTGGGGCCTTGAGTGCTAGGATCGTAGGCATGTGCTGTGGTGAGGCACCCACTACTGTCCCTGGGCCTGTACCTTAATGTACCAGTATTGAACGCAACCGCACTTGGGCATGTGTTCCCTTTCCAAAAAGTGGAATCCTCATCTGTATTTGGGAACACACTAGACAGACAGGGTAGGAAAGCCGGGACAAGGGCTTGATGTCTCCTCGCCCTTTAGTTTTCAGGCTTGCAGGTGTCCCCGGTGGTGACCGGTCACCTTCCAGGAACTTGGTACTGGCCAACGTCAGTTTCTTGAACATTGCTAATGTCCGTGGTTTCATCTTTACAGGGGAGCTGTTGACTTGGTCTGTTTTATTGTTTGTAATTTTATTTTATTTATTTTTTATTTTTTGCTGGTCATGGGGCTTGACCTCTGGGTCTGGGCACTGTCCCTCAGCTCTTCAGTTCAAGGCTAGCACTCTACCACTTGAGCCACAGCGTCACTTCTGTCTTTTTTCTACTTATGTGGTGCTGAGGAATTGAATCCAGGGCCTCATGCATGCAAGACAAGCACTCTACCACTGAGCCACCTTCTCAGCCCATTTTATTGTTTTATTAAGGTTTTGTTCCCATTTCATAAGTCAGGTAAAGAGTACATTTCTCTCTCTCTCTCTCTCTCTCTCTCTCTTTTGGACAATCTAAAGTCTTCCTTTGCTTTCCCCCAGTTTCCCCTCCCACTCCTGCCCACGAGTTACACAGGTCACTTTCCACATAGTATATATACTGAATAGTGCGATTGCATTTGTTCCCCCTCCCTCCGTCCCTTTCTATGCCCCTTTAACCTCCCAAAAGAAAAAAAAAAGCAAAAACAAACACTACCACCATCAGTAACAAAAAAAGTTTCCATTTCCTAGAGTTTGTTTCAATAAATGGTATTTTAAATGTTCAGAGAAGTTGCACCTTTATGTTCCTCCCCTAAGAGTATCCTCCTTTAGCCCTTTAGTGTATGAATGCCTAGAGTCCTTTATAGATGATCATGTCTAGTTATATTTTAGCGCTAATTCCACAAATGAGAAAAACCTGTACCATTTGTCTCTGGCCTTGACTTATCTCACTCAGCACAATTTGTTCTAGGTCCATCCATTTCCTTGCAAACAGCATAAGCTTATTCTTCCTAATGGCTGAATAAAATTCCATTGTGTATAGGTGCTACATTTTATTGACTGATCTGTTATAGGGTATCTGGGCTGTTTCCATAACTTGGCTCTTGGGAATAAGATAGCCATGAACATGGATACATAAGTGTCTTTATGGTATCCTGACTCCCAGTGTTCTGGGTAGGTGTCCTGTAGTGGTATGGCTGGGTTGTAGGGAAGATCTATATTTAGTTATTTCTAATTTTTTTAGTTATTTCTAATTTCTTAATTGTTAGTATAAAGGTGGTATACAGAGTATGTTTCTTTTTAAAACAATGTCACCCTTTTTCTCCCTCTCTCCCTTCCCACCCACAACTTGTATAGTTCATTTTCAACATAGTGTCTAGTGAGTACCACTGATGCATTTGTTCACTCTTCATCCCTCTATTTCTGTGCCCCCCTTGGCCTCCCCAAAACAGATAAATGAACAAATGAGAAAAAGAAAAAAACAGAAACAGCAATAAAGAAAGAAACCTCTTATTCCCATATCCTGGAGTTCATTTCAATAAATACTATTTTATATGATCAGGTACACATAGGTATTGCAACTTTGTGTTCCTCTCCTAAGAATATCCTCCTTTGGTCTCATTGTGTATATTTTGGGGTTTTTTAAAGAACCTCCATAGAGGTTGTACTAGTTTGCATTCCCACCAGCGATGTAGTAGGTTCCCTTTTCCCCACATCTAACCAACATTTGTTGTTTTTCAAGTTCACTATGTTGGCCTATCTAACTGGGGTTAGATGGAATCTCAGAGTTGTTTTGATTTGCGTTTCCTTTATGGCTGGAGATGATGAGCATTTCCTCATGTGTTTGTCATTCTATTCTTACTTCTGAGAAGTCTCTAGCTCCTGGACCATTTACTGATTGGCTTATTAGTTTTGGGGGAGTGTTATTTTTTTTGAGCTTCTTGTATATATTGGCTATTAAGCTTTTGTTGGATGTATTGCTGGTGGAGATTTTTTTCCCAGTCTGTTACTGTCTTTCTAGTTTAGTAACTATGTCCTTTGCTGTGCAGAAACTTATAATTTTGATGTAATCCTACTTGTCAAGTTTCTCTCTCTCTTTTTTTAATCAGTCATAGGGCTTGAACTCTGGGCCTGGGCTCTGTCTCTGAGCTCTTCAGCTCAAGGTGAGCGCTCTACCATTTGAGCCACAGCGCCACTTCCAGTTTTCTGGTGCTTCATTGGAGACAAGAGTTTCACAGACTTTCCTGCCTGGGCTGGCTTTGAACTTTGATCCTCAGATCTCAGCTTCCTGAGTAGCTAGGATTACAGGTGTGAGCCACCAGCACCTGGCAAGTCTTTTTTCTCTCTTCTGTGCCTGTGGGACTCTCTTCAAAAAGTTCTTACCTAGGCCTGTAAGTTATAATGTTAATGTTTCTCTCGCTCAACCTTGCAGTTGTATCAAACTTTCAGGTCTGATGTGGAGGTCTTTGAGCCACTTTGGGTTGATACTGATGCTTGGTGACCATAGTCCAGCTTTCGTTTTCTATAGGTAGATGTTCAGTTTTCCCAGCACCAGTTACTGAAGAGGCCGTCTTTTCCCCACTGTGTGTCTTTGGTTCCATTTGTCTTCGGCCGCCCCTTGGCCTCTTCACACTGGGGTAGCAGTTCCACAGGCTGCACAGTTTATAATGAGCAGGAAGTACTGGCCCGCAGTGCTGGAGGTTGGGTGCAGCGGGAGCCCCAGTGTTTCGAGGCCTTACAGCTCCTCCTGGGTGACAGGGCGGAAGAGCGGGGGTGGGGGGGAACAGGGGACACTGGAGGGGGTGATGCACGTGAAGTCGGGAGTCTCCTTTCACAATTCATGAGGGCAGGGCCCTTGGGGCCTCCTCTCCTGCCTGAGGTCCCATCTCCATCAGTGCCGTCTTGAGGGGCAGATGTTCAGACAGAATCAGCTCAGCCTGCCGGCCAGGGGCACAGATGAGTCTGGCATTAGGAACTAGAAGCAAGCAATCACTTCCTTTTTTTTTTTTTTTGCCAGTCCTGGGGCCTGAACTCAGGGCCTGGGTGCTGTCTCTGAGCTGCTTTTGCTCAAGGCTAGTGCTCTACCACTTGAGCCACAGAACCACTTCCGACTTTTTCTGAGTATGTGGTGCTGAGGAATGGAACCCAGGGCTTCATGCACTCTACTACTAGGCCACATTCCCAGCCCAAGCACTGACTTCCCAACTATACAGAAGACAGAGGTCGCACGGGTGAGCACTGACTTCCGAGAGTCCCGGTCTCTGTCTGGTCGCTTGAGTGACACGCCCTGTCCTGGTTCCCAGAAGCTCTCACAGCTGCTTCTTGGGTAGCAGGGCGGGTGGCAAAGAAAAGGGAAATACTGAAAGTCTGCTGGGGAAAAAAGGCAGGGAGGAGCTTGATGTTGATTGTTGCTGATTAAAACTTAAAGTGCGCAGCTGCTGATTTACCTCCATAAAAAAAAAACAAAAACCTTCACTAGCTTCTTACGAGCTGTAGGGGAGATTTCTCTCACCATTACGTGATTTACCTTCACTTTTGGAAACAGTTTCATAGATGAATGGTGGTGGTGTGCCCGGTTTTCGGCAGGAAGTTAATATACATGAGTTCTAAGCTAAAATGGCTTTGAGGAAATTGAAGCGTACTTCAGTTTACTGTAGTAACTTATATAGCATTCTTCATTAGGAATGCTTCCTCTCATTTATACTTCCTCAAAGTCGTGTATTTGTTAGGAGATAATTCATTTAGTTATATCTGAGACCAGTTTCGTTGGTGGGCATTTAGAAACTTTCAGGCCCTGTGTCTTAAGTACATGATGCAGTGTTTCTCCCCTCAGGTTTCCTGCAACTTTCACCCAGACGAGGTCTGCGGTGTGCAGCTGCCTCTGCTCTCCTGAGGACAGCAAGGATGATCCAGTAGGCAGCCGCACCGGGCAGCAACAGGGCTGACCCCTGAAGGATGAACGGGGAGGAGGAGTTCTTCGATGCCGTCACAGGTGAGTGGATAGGAGACTGCTTGGTGTTTGGAGACTGCGATCCAGAGCGTGCGCTTGAGCCGGGCGCTGGTGGCTCATGCTGTCATCCTAGCTACTTGGGAGGCTGAGATCCGAGGATCACGGTTCAAAGCCTGCCTGGGCAGGAAAGTCCGTAAGACTCTAATCTCCAATAAACCACCAGAAAACCAGAAGTGGCACTGTGGCTCAAGTGATAGTGCTTGCCTTGAGCTGAAGAGCTGAGGGACAGCGCTCAGGCCTAGAGTTCAAACCTTACAACCAAAAAAAACAAAAACAGGGTGTGGGCTTGGTACTTCGGATGTCGTCTGGCTCAGCAGAGCTAAGATAGGGGACCTGACACTGGCTGTCCTGGTTCAGAAGAGGGGAACCTCGACTTTGGTGGGGTGGGGTGGCTTGAAGTATGGGAGAGCGTCCCTGGGGGTAGTTTTATTTGGACCCCGAGTGAGAACATCAGTATTCCTCTGATAGCCTTCCTTCGATGAGGCAGCACCACCTTACAGCTGTAACTTCTTGGGTGCTGCTCCGAGTGCGCTGAAGCAGCCGGCCTGCCTTCCCAGCGCCTCTTGCTCTCGAGTTCCGTCATTCTTCCCTTTGGGGGACGATTCTAAGGCTTGGTGTGCAGCCCATGCCTGGTTGGCAAGGGCGCCCAGCTGCTGTCCTTGTTGAGAGGTGAGGCACCCCAGCCAGCGCCCACGCCCCCAGTGCCCGTGTCTTTTCTGTAAAGGATGGTCTCCTGGGAGCATACCGAGTGCATTTCCTTGTCCCTCACTGCAGAAGCACAGATAGTGGCTCTGAAATGTCCCTGCGGGCCGGGCTCGTGATGGCCTTTGAAACTCTGCACTTGGTGTCCACGGGGTCTGTCCTACAGGGGTAGCAGCTTCCGCCTAGGCAGACGCCTCCGTCAGAGCCTCCCTTACCCTCGGCCCGCCCTGGCGTGCGTGTGGCGAGCCGTGCTCTGCGCGTTGGCGGGGGTGTCACTGTTGGCTTACTCTTCCACAGTCCCAGGGGGAGACACTGAGCTCTGTCACCCTCCAAGGCTGGCTGGAAGTCAGTGCTCATGGCTTGGCGGCTGAGGGTCTCAGATTCTGTTGTGTGTGCTTCTGGGCGTCCTCTCGTCATAGGACTCGCACGCAGCTGCCTCCTCCCGGAGGATGGCCAGCGGGCAGGCTTGTCCCCAGTCACCTGGGAGGTCGTGGTCCCAGGGAGGCGGCTGTGGAGCCTGCCCCGAGGATGTGCCAGTTCCCTCTCACCCGGGAACTTTTGTGAATCATGATCCTCTGAAGTTGTGGAATAAGTCCATCTTGATTAAGCCAGAGATAGGCAGGTGAGTCCATCCTGACCTCAGGCCCCGGGGTGTGGCCATCCCCCCCCCCCCCAGCAGAGCTGCCTCACAAGTCCCCACGTCTGGCAGGCCAGGATCATTCCTGTTTGGGAAGGACAGCCGATTCCTCCAAACATGTCACTCAAAAACTATTTAAGGCAGACACCAGTGGCTCACACCCGTAATCCTGGCTACTCAGGAGGCTAGATCTGAGGATCATGGTTCAAAGATTGCCTGGTCAGGAGTGTGTGAGATTCTGATCTCCAAATAACCACCACAAAAGCCAGAAGTAGAGGTATAGCCCAAATGGTAGAGTGCTAGTCTTGTGCACAAAAGCTCAGGGACAGCATCCAGGCCCTAAGTTCAAGGCCCAGGACCAGCACAAGAAATACAAAGAAATATAAAACAACTTGTGCTGGGAATGTGGCTTAGTGGTAGAGTGCTTGCCTAGCACACATGAAGCCCTGGGTTTCATTCCTCAGTATCACACAAATAGGTAAAGCCAGAAGTGGTGCTGTAGTTCAAGTGGTAGAGTGTTAGCCTTGAGCAAAGGCAGCTCAGGACAGTGCTTGAACCCAGAGTTCAAGCCCCAGGACTGGCAGAGAGAGAGAGAGAGAGAAAGAGAGAGAGAGAGAGAGAGAGAGAGAAATAATATAAAACAACAACAAAATAAAAGACTGCCAGGCGCTGGTGGCTCACACCTGGCATCCTAGCTACTCAGGAGGTGAGGCTGAGATTTGAGGATCATGGTTCAAAGCCAGCCCCAGCAGGAAACTATGAGACTCCAATAAACTACTCAAGAAAGCCCCATGACATGGCTGTTTTGCTTGTCTTGTTCAGGCTTTGATTCTGATCACTCTTCCGGGGGATTCTCGGAGACAAGTCCAGTCCCGGGAATGATTGATGTGGACACCAGCAGGAGCGGGAAAAGTGGGGAGAATGGAATTCAAAAGCACAGGTGTGTTGTCTCTTGCATGCATTGTCTTAGAGTTCGCGGGGTGCACTTGCAGTTGTTCCTGACAGATATGGCCGGGGGTAGCCCCTTAGGTCTCCTGACTCCTGGGCTGTGGCAGCCTCTCTGTCCCAGGTCTGAGCCGCTCCTCCAGACAGCATCCAGTCTTTGGCCACTTGTGTCCTGAGAGACTTGATGCTTCGGTGGGGTCTGGAGACTGGCAAATGTGGGTTGACTCCTTCCATGAATGCCGCTTCCTTCTCTGTCCTGGAATTGCTCAGGGTCTGGTGTACAGCACACATCTTTGCTGCTGATTTCCTACAGATCCACCTGTTCTTCCGCAGGCTGCAGATTAACTAACCCTCCTGTCTCTTCCGTATCCCGGGGTGATTACTGGCCACTGAGCCAGCAGGGCTCACTTGCTGCACATGGCCACATGGCTACCTCCCCGCAACTGTGCATTTCATGTAGATTCTGCAGGCATGGGCCTCCCATGGAGGCTTCCGCCTTAGTCAGGAGTAGCCAGAGGGCGGAGGCAGTGCTGAGGTGTGCTTGGCTGAGGACCCTCCAGCCTCTCCCCTGACCTCTGAGCTTGGGCCCTCATTGTGGCATGGGTCCCCTTCGTGCCCTTCTGTTTGGGGGCAGAGTGCCTCCTGTGTGCTGTGGGGCCAGGCCCCCGCAGCGCTGGGCTTGCTCTGTGCACAGCGCTCCCAAACCCCAGCTGCCAGCCCATCCCCTGCTCTGACACTCGGACCTCGTTAAATGTGTCCTGGACCTGGGCCTCTTTTCATTTCTTTTTGTCAGGTACAGTGATATTTCTCAAAATCGGGGCTGATGGCGCCACCTCTGTTCTCTGTGTAGAGCTCAGGCGCAAGGCCACGCACTGCCCTCCTCCCTGGGGTCACGAGCAGCTCTGACTAGCACCCCTGTGCTCACAGAGGTGTCCCAGTGGCACTGAACCATAAGGCTGCCCTTTTCTTAGGATGAGGCCAATACTGCCCTACCTCTTGTCCTTGGCTGCAGGGTTCTGTGAGGGCCTCTGGTGCAGCCAGCCCGGTCATTCCCAGGGCCTTGTTCCCAAGAAGCCCTTGGCCTGGCCCCTGCAGGGTGAGAGACTGAGACTCCAAGGTCTCCGTAACCATCCCGAGGCCTTCACAGCAGCGGGGCAGTGCGCGTTCTGTGGTGCTTCAGCCGCACCTGGCTTCTCAGGCATGCCAGAATGCAGACAGCTCCCAGTTTGGGTGTCCAAGCTAAAAGGAGGAAGTCAGTCCTCTGTAACGGAAGCGCATTGCTCTCTTCTCCCAGGACGGCACTGCCTGCCCCCATGTTCACGAGAAGCGATTTCAGCGTGTGGAGTATACTGAAAAAGTGCATCGGCCTGGTGAGTTCAGACAGCACTTTTTTTTTCTTCTTTCTTTCTTTCTTTTTTTTAAACCAGTGTTGGGTCCTGAACTCAGGGCCTGAGTGCTGTCCCTTAGCTTTTTCACTCAAGACTGGCACTCTACCATTTGAGTCATAGCTCCACTTTGACTTTATTTGGAAATAAGAGCCTCATGGACTTTCCTGCCCAGGCTGTCTTTGAACCTCAACCCTCAGACCTCAGCCTCTTAAGTAGCTAGCATACAAACCCGAGTCACTGGGTCCCAGCTTGGACAACGTTTTAGAAGCACAACACTTAGGATGGGTGCTGGTAGTCCTAGCTATTCAGGAGGCTGAGATCTGAGTTTAGTGGTTCAAAGCCAGTCCAGGCAGGAAAGTCTGGGAGATTCTTATCTCCAATTAACCACCAAAAAACTGAATGTGGAGCTGTGGCTTAAAGTGATAGAATGCTAGCCTTCAGCAAAAGAGCTCAGGGACAGAGCCCAGGCCCTGAGTTCACGTCCCATGACTGACAAAAAAAAAAAAAAAAGCACAACACTTAACTAGGAATTCCCATGAGTTTATTGCCCTGCTGCTAATTTAAGAAAATGTGCTGTACATATTTAAAAAACAGCATGGAATTAAGGTAACAAAGCAGGAAAGGAACAAATAAACAAGAGTAGGAAAAGGAACTCAATTATTTGTGGACTGCAGAATGCTGGTCTAGCAGGTGGCACAGGCATCACACAGCGCCTTTGTCCTGGTTCTCTGAGACATTTCCCAGCGTTTCCCAGTGTCCTTAGCTTTGTATATGTAGCCTGTGCAAGCGTCTTCCTGCCCCTGGCTCTGGCCTGCTCTTACCCTCCCATCCTGGCTGTCCGTGGGACCAGACATCAGGGTGCTAACCAGACATCTTTCTGGGTCTTCTAGGAGCTGTCCAAGATCACAATGCCAATCGCCTTCAACGAGCCCCTGAGCTTCCTCCAACGGATCACCGAGTACATGGAGCATGTGTACCTCATTCACAGAGCTTCGCGCCAGTCCCAGACCCTGGAGAGGATGCAGGTGGGCACCACCGTGGTCATGCCAGGCCAGTTTTAATGCATCTGGCTCTGTTTGGCTACTGGCCTTGTGGCTGTGAGCAGGGCGTCTGTGAGGAGGACTGATGGCACCGGTCCAGAAACATGTTCTCTGCAGGTGTCTGGCAGCCTGAGTGCTGGCTGGCTCTGCCTGCATCTTCCATCCCCACTGCCTCACACGTGTGATGTTCACGCAGGAGTGTGGGTGTATATACGTGTGCCTGCCTCAACATGTGTGAGCAAGAACCCGTGTGAATGTACACGTGTAAGTGCAGCATATTCCAGACCAAAAGACCAACGTTGCTCTTATGTGTGGGGGCGTGGGGTGGAGACAACACATTGTTGCTTCTTTTTGCAACTTAGAAGAAGCGATAGGTGACAGGTGGCATTTCCCTGGAAGTCCTGGAATTGTGCATGTGTCACTGTGAGGTGTCCACAGAGCCTGTGAGCACCGACGCTCCATGGGCGCCCCATGGACACTCTGTGGACAGTCCGTGGGCTCTCCTTCCCACGCCCTGGCCGCCACTGTTCTGACCCAACCTTGGTTGTTTGCAGTCTGTAGCTGCTTTCGCCGTCTCGGCAGTGGCTTCCCAGTGGGAGAGGACTGGCAAACCATTCAACCCGCTCTTGGGTGAGACATATGAGTTGATCAGGTAAGCGGAGCCGTTCACACATGGCTTGCCAGTGGGCCGCGGGTGACTGGGAGCCTGATTGTTTCAGCTGCACTGGCTCCTTGGCTCTGGGGAACATGCCTGCGGGTGGTGGTGCACCACCAAGTGCTGCTGGTGCACTTGGGAGGCTGTAGGTGCTAATGGTGGGACCATCGCTGGTGTGGAAAGCAACGTTGAAGCTCAGGAGCAAAGGCTGTGCTACACCGACAGGTGTGTAGCTTTCACCAGGAATGGAGCTGGTGGGAATAAGCAAGATTGGGCCTCTACCACAGCCCTGAGGGGAGGGACCAGAGAGGTAGCCACAGGGAACATCCAGTGAGAAGAGGGGCCACAGAAGTGTGGTTGCTGCCCAGTACCATTCCCACTGCCCCACTGCCCTATCCTGCAGAGTCTCAGGAATGGTTGGACAGGCCTGCCAGACAGAGTTGTCTGATCACATCTGTGTGTGTGTGTGTGTGTGTGTGTGTGTGTGTGCGAGCACTGGACTGAGTGCTAGCTACTTAACTTTTTCACTCAAAGCTGACATTCTGCCACTTGAGCCACAGCTCCATTTCTGGCTTTCTAATTGTTAATTGGAGTTGAGAATCTCATGGACTTTTCCTGCCTGGGCTGGCTTTAACCACAATCCTTAGATCTCAGCCTCCTGAACAGCTAGGATGACAGGCGGGAGCCACCAATGCCCAGTATACCTGATCTTTAAGCACTGACATTTCTTCGGCCCAGTTTCCTCTGGGCTCCCAGGGCAGGGTGGACAGGGCAGTGGCCACTCGTGCACATGCACACAATTCAGTGTGTACCCCTCCTCCCCTGAGCCTGGACCCCAGGCCCTGGAGCTCCAGCCCGGGGCTGGAGCAGGTAGGTCCAGGCTGCCTCATGGATGACTTGGCCTCTGGAGGACTGTTGGAAACCTCCTTTCCAACTGCGTTGTCTATAAGAATATTCTATAGAAAACACGTAAGTCATTGCAAAAAGCCAGGTGGTGACGTGGTTCCAGTGATAAGTGCAAAGTCTGAGCTCACACTTCAGTACCATAAAAGAAAACCCAAAACAAACAACACACCTAATACCCCATGAAACTCGCATGTCTTGCAGAGCACCTGCTGTTGACAGTTTGGTAGCTGGCCTCAAGTGTGTGACAGTGTTAATTTGTGACATTTATCATCGTGCCATAATTATGTTCCCTTGTGGTCATGGCCCTTTCTTTTTTTTGGCCATGGGGCTTGAACTCTGGACCTGGGCCTGTCCCTCAGCTCTTGAGCTCAAGGCTAGCATTCTACCACTTGAGCCACAGTGCC